ATGCTAAATGTCCGGCTGTTCGATCAGTCACTATGATGCGCACTGACCACCAGGGTGCAGACGCTCCAACTGATAGGTTAGCTTGCTGCTGGGGTCCAGCCAATCAGGACTGGGAAAAACAGGCCAGACACACCCTGGAGCCCTCCCACAGTCCCTTCCCAGCCCCAATCATGCACTGGTGGGGGCCCTTGGCCTGGCCTGTGCCCTCTCGAAATCTGGAACCCCTTGGGGGATGTCAGAGAGCCTGTTTTGGCTCGATCCCTGCAGGCCAGGCCTCTAGTGCATGAATCCATGCACCGAGCCTCTAGTATGTTAATAATAAGCAACTTGGACTATGTACTGGGTGCTATCCTAAAGCACTGTGAGAGATACAAAAATAAATGGTACGTCTTCATGCCTATAAATATCCTTTAATGACATAGGTCTTGCTTTCAAACCATTCTACTTCATGTTGTGATTTTATATTATGAGATGTTGAAGCAAACCTTTTGCAGAAACTTAAAAGTAGTTTTCCTAGTAAAACTGCATTGTGTCCCATTTATTGAAACAGGAGTACCTTCAAACACTCAAGATTCTAAAAGAAGACATTTCAATAGCCACGAGAGTATCAAAGGATCAGTCATCTTTTTATTCGCAGAACCACGGGATCATAAAACCTCTGAATAGAAAGATACCCAGAGGGCATTTGGTCCAAGGCTTTCCTGGCTTCACAGAAACAAGAAACACCTGGGGTGCTTTTTAGTACCCGATTTCCAGGTTTCGGCCACTAGAGACGGACTCAACAGGCCTTGGTGGAGACGGGCCATTTGTACTCAGTGAAAGTGTCCCAGAGGATTCAGATATATAGCCAGGTTTGAGAACACAAACCTTGCCCAACCCTGGATCTATTATTTCAATAAGGTTGGTGCTATATTTTCTGACAAGCTGTCATTTACTCTCTGCTCTAATATATACCAGATCAGGGCTCTTACTCTCAGATAGCTATAGTTATTAAAATATTATCCATATAGCTGTAACATATACAGGGTGGGCAAAAGCAGGTTTATTACTTTTGTGTGTGAAACAATTATATATTATATATTATGTAATGATATATTATTAGTTATATGTATTAGTATATATTAATTATTGTATTATTTTTCATATCAATATATGTGTATGTTGTTATTTGCTAATACATGTCTCCAAAAATGATGCGGTAAGCTCCCTGAGGGCAGAGTCTAGGGCTGTTTTCTTCACTATTTCATATCTGGCTTTTAGCTCAGACCATACCAGACAGTCATTAAGGTTTGCTGAATACTAGTATATACCTGATTCAATGAGGTCCTTCATTAGTTTGGCCTAAAGTCAGTCAGTGTCTGTCTCTCTCTCTCTCTCTCTCTCTCTCTCTCTCTCTCTCTCAAATATCCATCTATTGTGCTGGTTTTGATAGTTCTAGGGAATTTAGTCCATATTTCAGATGCTGGGTATACAAACATAAGTAAAGCATTCTCTTCACTTCTCTCAAGGCTCTACATGCCTAGAGAGAAAGAGGCGGATGCTTTTAATTTTTTTAAATGCTAAGTGCAATATCAATTGATATGGAACAAAGGTGGGAATTGAGAGGAAGGCGACTCATTGAGGTGTGACGTAGGTAGAGGAAGGGAAGCTGTGGATATCAAGGAATGCTTTTCAAGAGAAGTGATGCTGAGCTGAGTCTTGATGCCTTAGCACTTGACTTACTGAGTGCTCCCAGACCTTAAATCATACAGAACAAATTATGTCACTCCTCAATATGGTAGCCTTTTATAGGGTCTGTCTCTCAGAACTTCTCTGGAAAAATACCCAGATTCCTATAATTATTTCTCACACAAGTATGATGTGTCCCTTCTTGATTTTTGTTCCATAGCAAATTAATTTAAATACCCTGAATTGCATAATCTAAAGAAGACTCTAAGGGTAAGAAATACAGCCAATGGCTTTCAAGTTAAAGAGCTGAAGCTGAACTCCCAAGGCACCTACTATGTTCATGAGTAACATGACTTCTGTAATTCTCGTGTAGTTACAAGCAAATAACACTGATATGTACACTAGAGCAGAACCCAAGCCTCTCACGGTAGCATGTTGAAAACTGAAAGATAACGCAACATAAAAGGGTTTGAAGTGAGACACTGACAATGTTAGTTTTACCATAACTTCACAGACTAACTTTCACACAATCAACAGACATACAGGAACCATAAATATCCCCACGTAAGCAATGCTGTTTAATAAACTGTGGAAAGATGACTCTGAGTTAATACTGTTGTCATAGAAACAATGCTTGCCTATGAAATCAGTGCCAGGGCGAGAGAAAGGTGGACTTGTCTGCTCTGCTTGAGTGTGGTGCATGGAGGGAACGGTGAAATATCAGAAGACAGACACAGATACGCGCTAGCTGTCAGGATAAAATACTATTCTCATTCTAAAAGTTAATCTTCCCTTTGTTTTCTAGAGGCATATACATAGGAAGGTACTTCTCGACTCTTTTAAAAATAACTTTTAAACTGGAAATAATGAATCCCATTTCTTCAAAGAGATTTGGGGAAATCTACTAAGCTCCCCTGAAGAACTAAATCAATCTCAGGCTGCATTCATATATGGAAAAGCACAGACCCCCACGGTGATCAGACAGACCGAACAGCTGCCTGACATCTGTTAAACCGGTGTGAGAAAGACGCATCTCTGATGCATTTCTCCTGGGAGGTTTGTATCTGAAATGAGACTAGAAATCACATTCTGTCCTGTAAAGTAAATCTGACAGCCCCCCAACAGGGCAATATACCTGTATTGAATAAATGAAAATTACTAAGCTCATTTCCTGTGCTTACCTTCTTTCTCCCCCACAACCCTTCCTTGTAAGGCTGCACATGATACTTGTTCAGCTTTGGAAAAAGGAATTTGAAATAAAGAGACTATATCAGTTGTTTGTCAAGGCATATGTTTCTTAGGAGGTACATAAAGCAAAATGTGCAAATGGTAAACTCCTGAGGGTAGAATTTCTTTGGCGTAGGAAATAACATATGGTAAGCATTTCATATGTTCTTATTGCTTGGTTATATTCATTTAGTCAAAAAAATTATGATGGTGTCCATCTCCAATCTAGAGAAACTGCTCATCTACTCAATGGCCATCCAGGCCATGGCCAAGAATGATACCATCATTTGTACCTAGGTCTTCACACCTTAGCAAGTACTATATATTTACATCATTACTAAAGAGTCACAGTATTTTCTTATCCATAAAGTAAGAGCATTGTGTAGAGGGTGTCTGCATTCTGAATTTGTCTCAGTAGATAAAAACGAGGATATTTGTTGCCAATGAAGTTCCAGATCATCAACACTGTAAAAATAGCCCAATGACTCTCTACAAACAGATTACCATCATGTTAACCTATGGGATTTTTTTTTAAATAGTCACTACTGAAAATGAAGGTTATAGGTCCCCCTGACCAAACAAACCCAACTAGTAATAGATCTTATTTCTTAGGAAGAGATGTCTCAGTTTAAGAGTATTTTGACTGATCATTATCAACAGAGTATCCTTCCCAGAGGTAGTACCATTTGAGATGGGATTGAAGAGTTCAAGAAAATGATGCAGGAAAGAGAGGCTATTCTGCTCAGAGGGCTAGCCAGTAATTCTCAGAGTGTGCTCCCAGAGCCAACAGCCCCAGCTTCACTTGGGAAGTTGTTACAAGCTAACCTTACCTCATACTTAGTGGATCCAGAAGGGGTGGGGCCCAGCAATCTGTGTTTGAACAAGCCCTGTAGGTGAATGTCATGCACCCCAATACTGAGAAGCACCGGACTAAAACTTAGTAATTTGAAAGTGCTGAGTTTGAAGGACCTCAAGTTCTTCAGTATGGCTCACTGTAGACTGAGTAAGGACGGCAGTAAAGATGGAGGATGAAAACATAGGAAAGAAGGCCAGATGCATCATGTGGCCTCTTGTGGAGTTTGTGCTGATCAATTAGGATGATGGAGAGCTGCTGACAAGTTCGTAAGCAGGGGATTAAGAAGAAATGACCTGTTAAAATAACACCGGGGATAATGTGAGAAAAAGACCGAGCCCTTGACAGGATGAGGTTGCCCAGGGAAACGACGTCATCACTGGTGAGGAGATTGAAAGATGGCACAGTTACAGAAGACTTCCAGGGGCTGGGAAAGGCCTACCTAACTCCAAGTGAAGATTGGAGGACGAGGAGGAAGAGGAGGAGGAGGAGACAAAGACCTGTTTTGGCTTCTGTCAGTACAACAAGACTCACTTTATAGCTGTCAGAGCCCATATGATAAATAGCTTGAGTTTGAAAACCCAGATGTGCCAAAGGAAGTTGCCTAGTATTCGCCAATTATCAGAAGAAGAACTCCCCGCGTCCGACTCATTTTGACTGTGTGCTGAGAAAGACCACTGGATGTTAAGCCACCACCGTAAACAAGTCCGGAGGGTGGGTGCCGGGAAGATGGCACGCCTGAGGGGTTCTCCGGGACAGTCAGCTGAAGCCTGGGATGCTCCAATAGCTTCACCTTCACTCGCTCCCTCCGATCGCTGGGGGGTGAAGTTGAAGGGAGCGCTCACCTGTTCTCAACTAAAGCGCTTAGCTTTGAGAGGACAGGCGAAGACTTCAGAAAGACTATTTCTAACACTGAAGCGCACAGATCCATGGACTGTGTACCCAACGCCGGTCCCTGCGCCCCCAGTGGCGGAGAACAATGTCTCTCTTCCGGCTGCCATTGCATTGGCACCTAGCACCACAGATGTGGTTTTTTCCATCCACCTTTCACCTGGAGGCCCTTGGCCCTTCTCCCCACTTTGTGACGCGGGGGGCCCAGGCGGACCCCAGTGCTGGCTGGCGGGTCACAAAGGCAGGTGCAAACGCAGGCGCGCTCAGTGCCGGGGGCACTTCAGACTGGCTTGGGCTCAGGTCCTGATGCTCCAACCCCAAGGACCCCCAGACGCGAGTCCTGACACCTCCATCCTCCGCGATGACCAGCCAGTTGTGCCTCCCTGCCGCCCGGCGCCTCGCGTCCTTGAAACCCTTGATGGCCCCCTTCCGGGACGTCCAGGTGGGCGTCTGCGTGGCGATCCAGCGCAGCGACGGGCGGATCCACCTCGCTGTCGTCACGGAGTTCAAACGAGAAAACACTTGGGTCACGGTCGAGTGGGTGGAAGAAGGCGTCAAAAAAGGCAAGAAGATCGACCTGGAGACGATCTTCCTCCTGAACCCATCGCTGACCTCGGCGGAGCAGGCCACGCGGTCCAGGTCGCTGTCCTCCTTGTCTCTCGCGCCCTCTTCGGCCATCGGGGACCAACACGTGGCCACGCGGTGGATCGCCAGGATCCCCCCGAAAAACGAGACCCCCTCCGGGGACAGCCTGGCTGTGACGGTCCCCGGCAGCCCTTGCCTGGTGAAGTGGAAAAAGTCCCCCTGCCTGCGGAGCATTGAGAAGCTGCAACAGCAGCGGGAGACGCGCCGCCAGCTGCAGGTGGCGATCCGAGCCCAGCGCGCCCTGGATGTGCACGCGGGGAACCCCCACCACGAGGTCATGCGCATGATCGAGGAGTACCGTGGGCGCCTGGACCTGGACCGCAGCGAGGTGTCCCGCCTGGGGCCGCCGCGGGGGGACCGGCGCATCTGCGTCTGCGTGCGGAAGCGGCCCCTCAACCAGCACGAGGCGGCCATGAAGGACCTGGACATCATCACCATCCCCTCGGCCCACGTGGTCCTGGTGCACGAGTCCAAGCAGAAGGTGGACCTCACGCGCTACCTGGAGAACCAGACCTTCTGCTTCGACCACGCCTTCGACGACACGGCCTCCAACGAGCTGGTGTACAAGTTCACGGCCCAGCCGCTGGTGGAGTCGGTCTTCCGCCGGGGCATGGCCACCTGCTTTGCCTACGGGCAGACGGGCAGCGGGAAAACGCACACCATGGGCGGGGCCTTCCTGGGCAAGGCCCAGAGCTGTTCCAAAGGCATCTACGCCCTGGCGGCGCAGGACGTCTTCTTCCTGCTCAACACCCCTGCCTACGAGAAGCTGGGCCTCAAAGTCTATGGCACGTTCTTTGAGATTTACGGGGGCAAGGTGTTCGATCTGCTCAACAGCAAGAAGCAGCTGCAGGTCCTGGAGGATGGCAGTCAGCAAGTCCACGTGGTGGGGCTGCAGGAGCGGGAGGTGTGTTGTGTGGAGGACCTGAGGGGAGCCGACTGCCAAGGCCAACAGGAAGAGGCAGCTGGAAGGGGCGGACATTAACAAGAGTCTCCTGGCGCTCAAGGAGTGCATCCGGGCTTTGGGGCAGAACAAGGCTCACACCCCATTCCGAGCCAGCAAACTCACACACATGCTCCGCGACTCCTTTATCGGGCAGAACTCCTCCACGTGCATGATCGCTACCATCTCTCCAGGGATGTCCTCCTGCGAAAACACCCTCAACACTTTAAGATACGCAAATCGAGTGAAAGAATTGACTCTAGATTTCAGGCCCCCCCAGAGCTGTCTGTCTCGGGTTGGACATGAGGTGCCCAGGATGTTGGAGAATCACATCAGAAATCCAGAAATGTCCCTCCAGAGGGAGGCACTTCTGAAAACACCACCACCTATGCAGACTGAGG